TCATGAAAGGCCTCTCAGCAGAGGTGATATTTGAGTGTTGACTGGAGTGAACCAGGAGGCGCCGTGTGTGAGTTGTTTGGGAGGAGGTTTTAGGCAGGGGATCCTCAAGGGCACGGGCCTTGCCACAGAGCCTGACAGTCCTCAGGGAGGTGGCTGCAGCTGCAGTGACAGCAGGTAAAGGCAGACCACGTGGGCTCCTTTCACCCGATCCTGTGGGCTTGGGGGTTGCCACCCAGGGGCGGAGAGCAGAGCTGTTGCAGGACCTTAGTGCTGGTTTAGAAGCTGCACACCGGCCGCTGTGGGGAGCACGGACTGCGGGTGTGAGGGGACGCCTGGAGACAGGTCTGAGGTTGCTTATGTTGACCTTGGTGACAGGCCGGGTGGTGGTGAGAAGTGGAGAGGAGGTGGGCACAAGCAAGGGCAGACACAGTAGAGACCCAGTGCTGAGGCAGAGAAACAGGTGGCTGGGACCCAGGGTCCTGTGCCACATGCCCTCCTCTTTTCACTCTGCTTTGAATGTGCAAGTGGTCATGTCTCTGTCTCACAGTCTTTGCACTTGGTCTTTTTTGTTCTTTTGGTAGCTGGCCGCCTTGACCTTTGGACTTGCTCTTCTGTGTCCCTGGAATGCACCTCTCCCAGGCATCTGCACACTTCCTAGTCTGTCTTTCTTCAAATCTCTAAACAGTGACTGTCCTATCTAAAATATCACTCCTCCCCATGCTTCCTGTGTCTTCCCCTGCCTGTTTTTTTCCATCTCATCACTATCTAGTATACTTACTATTTTCATTGCTTATTTTATGATAAATATTTTTATTTTATATATTTACATGTAAGTAAATATATTTTATGGTAAGTATAAATACTTATCATTAATTTTATTGCTTACTATTTTTCTTTTTTTTTTTTTTTTCCTTTTTGTCTTTTTTACTGACTGGTAACGGGATCGCAACCCTCGGTGTCGCGCCCGCACCGTGCTCAGCCAGTGAGCGGGAACCGGTCTCCACATGGGATCCGAACCCTCGGTGGGAGTGCCGCTGCACTCCCAAGCGGCGCACTCCCCAGTGCGCCACTGGGCCGGCCCGCTTACTATTTATCTTACTTGGCATCTGTCTCCTGCACTAGGCTGTAAGCTTGATCGTGGGAATTTATGTCTATTGTTTGTTCTGGTATCTCTGATACCTAGAACACATAGTGGGTACTCAGTAAGTACTTGTTGAAGGATTGAATAAATACATTATTAAGTACTGTTCACAGCTAAGCTGTATAATATGCTGTCATTATTTTTTATTTCCTGTGTTCCTCTCTGTTTTCCTGGCAGTAGTGATCATCTTGTTTTGTTTAGGTGTGTCTGTATTTACCAGTGATTATCTCAAACTCTCCTTCGGTTGGTATAAGTCTCCTCTCAATATGTCCAACATGTCATATAACTCTTATTTCACTGCCTTGTTTTCTTTGTTTCTTCTTCTTGAAGACATCTCTGTTACAGCTTTAATTTTCTACTTTAATTTTCTTGTGGTTATATTTTGTAAGAGTTGAAATTTATTAAGACTTATTTTATGGCCCCAGCATATGGCTTGTCTTGGTGAACATTACATGTCTACTTGAAAAAAACCCACTACTCTCCATAGCTGGGCGTAGTGTTCTAGGACTGTCCATGGGGTCAGTAGTGTCATTCAGGTATTCTTTGTCCGTGTTGATTTTTTTTTGACTACTTGCTCTATCAGTTACTGAGAGAGGGGTGTTGTGGATTTATTTCTCACTTTAGTTATGTCAGTTTTTATTTCATGAAATCTAACACTCTGTTATTAGGTGCATACATGTTTAGTATCATTATGTCATTCTGATAAATTGCCCATTTGTCATTATGAAATGTCTTATTATCTCTTGTAATTCTTTGTTTGGAAGTCTACTTAGTCTGATATTACTATATCATCATTATTTTATCTTTGCCTACTTTTTGTATACTATATATATGTATGTATATATGTTTTTTTCTTTCATTCCTTTACCTGTTTGTATCTTCATAGTTAAAGTTACGTAGACAGCATATAGTTGGTCTTGCCTTTTTTCAGTCTGACAATCGGGCTTTCGATCGGAGTGTTTAGTGAATTTATACTTACCGTAATTATTGGTATGGTTGAGTTGAAGTCTACCGTTTGCTATTTGTTTCCTATTTGTCTCTTGTTTTTTGTTCCTTTGTTCCTTTCCCACTTTATTTTGGTTTCATTGAAATTTTTTTAGAGTGCCAGTTTATTTCTCTTACTGGTTGATACAGGGCTAGCAGTATGCATCCTGAACTTAGAAAGTCTCTTCAGAGTCAGTATTGTACCACTTCATTCTTCACAACAGACACTTAAACCGTTCTCATTTCTTAATCCACCTCTTACATTTCGCGTTTGCAGTTCACAAACGTAGTAACCGTGAACACTGAAATTCTCTCATCGTCCCTTTTTGTGCTATTATTGTCATATCTTTTATTTCTAATATGTTATAAACCCCACCTTACAGTCGTTATTTATAAATTCAGTCTTATAAAAAATTACAAGAAGAAAAAAATAGTATTTTATATCTATCCACTCATTTACCATTCTGGTGCTTCTCATTTTTTGTAGATCTGAATGTCTGTGTAGTGTTATCATTGTCAGACTGAAGAATGTCTTTTAGCATTTCTTGTAGTGCAGGCCTTGCAGGGAACTTCTTTCCACTTTCTTTTCTTTTCTTTCTTTGTCACTTTTTTTTTCTTTGTTATTCTTCTCCACTTTCTTTCATCTGAAATACCCTTATTTCACTCTCGGGGGATAATTTTGTTTGATATAGACTTGAGTGTTGCGAGTTTTCTCTCTCAACACTTTTTTTCTTTTTAAGCATTTTCCAGCATTGTCTTCTTGCCTCCATCATTTCTGATGAGAAGTTACTTGTCATTTGTATTGTTTTCCCCCTATATGTAGTATGTCTTCTTTTTTTCTGGCTGCTTTCCAGATTTTCTCCTTTATTTTTGTTTTTTACTAGTTTGGCTATGATCTGCCATTGTATATTTTGTATTTCTTCTGATTGGGATTTGCTGAGCTTCTTGGGTCTTTAAGCCAGTATGTTTTATCAAATTTGGAGGTTTTTCAGCCATTTAAAAAAAAATATTTCTCCCCTGTTATCACTATCTTCTCCTTTTGGAAATGCAATTTTATGAACATGAGACAGTTTGATACTGTCCTGCACATCCCTGTGATTTTATTCATTTTCTTCAATCTTTTTTCCCCTTCTCCTTCAGATTAATTTTTCTTGAGTTTTCTTCACGTTCACTGATTTTTTTTTCCTGATACCTATAATCTGCTGTTAAGGTCATGCAGTGAATTTTCTCATTATACTTTTAAGTTCTAGAATTTCCTGGTCAGGCAGGAACTCTTTTTTTAATGTTGTTAAAATAATTTCCATTTCTCTGTCGAAATTCCGTTTGTCCATTCATTATGATCACATTTTCTTTTAATTCTTTGAACATACTTTTCTTTAATTTTCTGAACATCTTTAAAATAACTGCTTTAAAGATTTTGCTACACCCAATGTCAGTGTCTATTGTCTGCTTTTTTCCTTTTCTGCAGTTCATGTTTTCCTGTTTCTTTGCATGTTTAGCAGTTTTTGATTGTATACTAGAAATTGTGGTTGATAATTTATAGAGACTCTATTCTGTTATCCTCTTTTGAGATGTGTTGGGTTTTGTCCTAGTAGTCAGTTCACTTACTGGCTGATCACCTTGAACTTGTGTAAGCTTGTTATATGTTTTGTTAGGGCAGTTAGTTATGTGAAAAGCCTTAGGTATTTCCTTAGCCTCTCTAACATGGCAGAACTCAGCCTCCAAACTCAAGGCTCATGTTGGGTCTTGTTTTTAGGCTTTGTTAGGAAAGGTCTATGGAGACCTTACTCCAAGCATGGTCTTCATTCATAGAACACAAGCTTTCTGATGACTCAGCTCCATATTTGGGGTGCTAACAAGGCACTAATGAAGCCTCTTCACTGTGTCTGGATTGGAACTTCAGCATCTCCCAGACTGCTCAACCTCTATCTCTGGTCTGTTCTCAACCCTGGAGGGGCCACTTTCTGGTAAGATCCTGGTAGTCTTACCTTATCCCCCTTAGTCAAGGACTCACTAGGGTGCTGCACATAGACTTTCGGGCTCCCCTTTGAATGGCTCCTCATTCCATTCACATCAGCTGCTCTAGCCCTGCCCCCTGCCCCTGGCCCTGTGGGGTGTCCATTCTTCTAGACTGCTGCTTCTAAAGGAAGCCTGGGGAGTTCCTCACACACATGGGCACTTCTTTTCCAAAACTTATGTCCTTGGGAGCTTATTAGAGGGCATTAGCGGGTGTTTGTTAATTGAAGACATGGGCAGCAAGAGACCCCAAGCTCCTTGCTTGGCTAGGCAGGGTCAGTGGATGAAAACTGCCTGGTGCTTTAAGGCCACATGGGAGGACTCAGCCCTTCACCTGCCCAGGCACTCACTGCCACAGCCCCTCACCACCAGGCTCTGGTCATTAGAGAACCCTAATGCTGGAGGAGCCTCGTGCCAGGTATAGGGCACATATGGGGGAGGCACCTGGATGTGTACCCCGGCCAGACTTGCAGCACACCTAGAGCTCGCTCTTCAACTGAGAGCTGCTGAGCTCTTCTGGGTCAGTGTTCCTGGCAGTGAGCCCAGTGTTTAGGGAAGGCGGCCCCAGGGAGGGCCTTGGCCAGTTCAGAATACATACCTTGTCCTTCTTCCCCCTTTCCCTGGGGACCCTAGAGAGCCAAGACAGAGCTGCCCACCTTCCCTCTGCATCCTCCATCCTCCTTTCTTCTCAAAGTTGGGCCACCGAGTTGCTTTCTAAGGGCTCAGAAGGCCTCTCTCTCTGTGTCTGCCTTCTAGCCCAGTGGAGCCACAGGTCTGGTGTGGGTCTGTGGGGTTGCTTTACCTGTCCCCATACTTGGCCCACACCCCTGGGCTCACCGAGCCCCCCCTGTTTCTTCAGCTGCAGATCTGGGACACAGCTGGTCAGGAGCGGTTCCGCACCATCACCCAGAGCTACTACCGCAGTGCCAATGGGGCCATCCTGGCATATGACATCACCAAGAGGAGCTCCTTCCTGTCTGTGCCTCACTGGATTGAGGACGTGAGGAAGTATGCGGGCTCCAACATTGTGCAGCTGCTGATCGGTGAGCGGGGGGGTGGGGTGCAGCAGGACAGGGTCCTCAGGGGGTCACAACTCCAGTCTCTCTGTCTCTGCCTCTCCTTTTTATTTTTATTTTTTATTTATTTATTTTTGTGGAGAGGCTAAGGGGAGAGGTTCCTTTATTCAGAGTAGGTTTCATTATTTTAAAACACTGCAGTTTAAAGTATAGTAAGAATTTAAAAAATGGAAACTGCTAGCAAAAATATTTAGAACACCTAAACACGATATATCACATCATGTCAACTCAGGTTTGACACACCTTGTAGTGGGGAGCTTGTGTATTTTCCAGGATTTTAGGATTTCAGTGGTGGTACAACAGGAAACAGTTCTGATATGATTATCATTTTTTTTCCCTTTTTTTTGTCTTTTTTTTTTACCAACCGGTAATGGGATCGCAACCCTCGGTGTTGCGCCTGCACCGCGCTCAGCCAGTGAGCGGGAACCGGTCTCCACATGGGATCCGAACCCTCGGCGGGAGCGCCGCCGCACTCCCAAGCAGCGCACTCTCCAGTGCGCCACCGGGCCACCCCTTATTTTAATTTTTTAAAATGAAAAAAAAAAATTTAAATTAAAAAATTTTTTATTGTAACAGTTGATTGTACATATCTGTGGGATACAGGGTTGAATGTTAGTACCTATGTGCAATGTGATGCTCAAACCAGGATAATTAGTATATTCAACATTATGCAATGTAATCGTTTCTCATGGCCCTTTACCAATTCCTCCCTTTCTCCTTTTTAAATACAGACAAAGCCTGACAGCAGAGAGGAGCTGAGCTTGGTCAGGCAGGAACTGAGCCAGAGTTTGAACCACAATCTTGTAAATTCCAATCCTGCTAGTTACTTATAAAGTTATATTCAAGATAGGAATAGAAGAAAGAAGAAAGGGAGCTAAAGAATGTGCTCTGCAGTTCCCATGCATCTGCACAGTGGTCAGCACCATGTCAGCCTCCACATTTGACAGGGGATGGAGTGAAGCTCAGAACAGTGGAGTGATGTATCCAAGTCACACAGCCTGTGAGCATACAGACATGGGACTTGAGTTCAGTTCTGCTGACCATGATTCTGTGACTTGCTGTCACGCCACACTGCAGAGCAGGGACACTCCATCACTTGTGTGCGTCAGAATCACTCAGAAGCCTTGTTGAAGTGCAGGTGCAGGGCCTTGCCTGCACAGCCTCCCATTTGGAAGGGCCGGATGGGGCCCATGATGTGCATTTCTAACAAGTTCCCAGGTGACGCCCATGTTGCTCGTCCAGGGATCCCACTCTGGAACTTCTGCTCTGTTTTCCCTTTTCCTCCTACATAAACTTCCCAGACCTGGGCTCCAGAAGCTTTTTAGCATTTGTGTGGTCCCTGAGGTCCTTTCTCCAATAGTCAGGCTGATTCTTCTGACTCAAATGCACAGGTGGGGCCTGGATGCGGCTCCAGCTGGGAAGAGGGTAGCTGGAAGTTCCCTGCAGCCTGCCCGGACAGGGGTGTGGGGTGTGGGGGCTCCTGACTGCAGTAGCACTGTCCTTGCGGGAACGGAACTCTCCTTACCTGGCCCAACCACTTCCCTTTTATCAAGGACATTTCTAAAAAGCGTTCTATTAGCATTTTATACAGCTACAAAAATAGAACAGTACAATGAACTCCCAGGGGCCCATCACCCAGCTTCAGCAATTAGTGACTCCTCTTGCCCTCGTCACCTCCCTTCCCTTGTATTATTCTGAGGAAAATATCAGACACCAAACGATTACATCTGTAAATATTCCAGTGTGAATCTGTAAAAGATTCACTTAAAAATATGTATATTTTTAAGTGCAGATATATAATTGCTCATAAACGTTATGTGTTTTTATTTCCCGTTTGTTGAAATCAGGATCTAAGTAAGTTCCACACATTGAAATTGGTTGCTGCATTGTTTAAAGTTTCCCAGGAAATTTTAAATCTTTATAGACTCTTATATTATTTTTATCTTCCCTGTAACCACATTACAAAAGTCGACTACTTAGAGATTTTAAAAAATTCTTCCAGAAATTGGGTCAAGGAGCAGTTTCACAGATTATTTAGAATGTAACGAAAACATGTCACACCTTATAGGAGGAGCCAAAGGTGTGCTCTTGGGTAAAGTGGTAAAATAATCAAAAACCACAATCTTACAGAGAATAAAAAAATTCTGAAGGAGAATAGGAGAGAATAAATAATAAGCATAATAAAAAAGTTTTAACCACAAAAAAATGAGCAGCACCAGACTTCTTTATCGAGCTCAGCATCCGTGGTGTGCCTGCCAACATGCCAGCCGTTTCCACGTTCGTTGTCTCGGTTCCTCGCTACTCTGCTCTCCTATGCTGAATGTAGCACAATGAGCGGGGAAACCGAGACACAGAGATGGAGTGACTCACCCAGCAGTCAAACAGCAAGTTGCAGGACGCTGGAGTTGCAACCCAGGTCTTCTCCCAGCTCTGAAGTACCGTGTTCTTTTCACCAAACTCTCCTGCTTCTAAATCTTAGAAAGAAGCAACAAAATATATAAGCCCCTGGCAAAGCTAAAAGAAAGCAAAATGAGGGACTGAAGTACAGAAACACTTTAAAATCAAACAGCAAGTTGCAGGACGCTGGAGTTGCAACCCAGGTCTTCTCCCAGCTCTGAAGTACCATGTTCTTTTCACCAAACTCTCCTGCTTCTAAATCTTAGAAAGAAGCAACAAAATATATAAGCCCCTGGCAAAGCTAAAAAAGAGAAAGCAAAATGAGGGACTGAAGTACAGAAACACTTTAAAATAAAGTTTTTTTTAAGGAAGATGGATGACCATAGCCGAGTGTGTGGATTTGTAGCTGGCAGTGGGAGTGGGTGATGTCAGGGTTGTCCTCCTGTCCTGCCAGGTGGGGCCAGGCTTGCCTGGCACCTGCTGGCCTCACTGTGCTGCACCCTGCCTTTCTCTGCAGGGAACAAGTCGGACCTCAGCGATCTCCGGGAGGTCCCCCTGGCCGAGGCACAGAGTCTGGCCGAGCACTACGACATCCTGTGTGCCATCGAGACATCTGCCAAGGACTCAAGCAACGTGGAGGAGGCGTTCACAAGGGTGGCCACGGAGCTCATCATGAGGCACGGGGGCCCCATGTTCAGTGAGAAGAGCACTGACCACATCCAGCTGGACAGCAAGGACATCGGAGAGAGTTGGGGCTGTGGGTGCTGACGGGGGGCAGGGCAGGTGGGCCGGGGCCTCCCACCTCCTTTCTCTCTCTGGCCTGCCAAGCCCAGCCCTCCAGAGCCACCCTCCAGGGCTCCAGCAAGTCTAGAGCAGCGGGGTAGTGTCCTGGAGCCACACCTCCTTGTCCCGGAAGCTCGATGGGAAGGCTCCCCTAGAGGAAGGGAGGAGCAGGGACCTCCTGCAGGAGGCCTGTTGGCCCATGGCGGGTGTGGGACCTGTCTTGCCAGCCAGGATCCCTCAGGATCCCTCCACGTTCTTCATATTCCAGGACTGGCCTGAGTGCCCCTGCCAGTGTGGGCTACAGTGCGGGGCTGGAGCATGCCTCACCTGGCACACATCCTAGTCCTGCCTGTGTGCTACCTTGAGATTGCAATGGCTGTAGCAGCAGAGAGCAAGAGCCACAGACCCACAGACTCAGGGCCACCCAGGGCAAGCCTGGGCTCCTTCCTGGAGAGGAACCTGCCTCCTTCCTTCACTGCCCACTCCAGGCTCTCTGACCCTTCTCGGGGCCTGGCTGGTTGCCTTATCAAGACCACTCGAGTTTCCTGGTTTCCCGTGTAGCTTCTCATTTTCATCGGCACCATGAGGGGTCATGGCCCACAGATGTGGGGACTGTCTGCTAGCTTGGGGCCCAAAGTCCTGCCACTCAGGCTGCAAAACCAGCACATCCTTCAGTGCCGGCTCTCAGAAATCTGGGGGGCTGGGGAGGGGGTAGGAAGATGGACATTGCAGGTGAAAGTGGAAACTCGCATCCCTGAAGTCTGAGAGGGACCTGCAGGTCACCCAGCCTTGCCCTGTGCACAGAAATCCTTCCTGCCACTTCAGGAGCAGCTGCTCCCCCAGTCTAGCATACAGAGTTTCCCCCAAAAGAGCCAAGGCCCTTGGGGGTCTTTGGCCTGGCCATTTTCACTCTCCTGGGTCCTTGACTGCCTCAACCTGCACAGGGTGCTGAGATTGGGAAGGCAAAAGGTGGGGGTCTTGGAAAACAGCACTGTCATCTTGTCATCTTGGTGTGTGGCTCAGGGATCACAGTGACTGGTTGGGAGGAGCCAGGCGATCTTTCTAAGTCAATCCCAGTCCCTCATGTCAGCCCAGCTCAGTCCCTCAGGTCCCCTCACCATGGGCCCCCCCCCCCCCCAAAAAACCCCCCCCCCCCCCCCC